AAGTCTGTATCAATTAATATCAGAAAGATGTCCAATCAAGGACTGGGAGCGTGGCTCAAGTGGTAGAAGGCCTCCCTGGTAAATACAAGGCACTGAGTTCAAACCCTAGTACCACCCAAAAAAGCAAAAAAGAAAAGCCAAAGTAAAATGGGAAAGAAAAGAAAAGAAAGAAAGATAGCCAATCAAATGCCCTGAACTCAAGCCACATAAGCTTTAAATCAATTCCCTGAAAAGCAGGTACCCAAGTAAAATAATGACTATATTGTAAGTAAGGATTTTTTTAATTGACCTAGAGTCCATAAATGGACTGTATTTTTAACTTTTGCTAAAAGAAAATATAAAGTTATAGTTTCAAACATGATAAAGTAATGAAATTAAGCCTGTGAATTTAACAAATAGTTACAAATTTATTCTGTGCCAACTATTTTCTAGAAACTGACAATCCAGGAATGAACTAAACAAAACATTTCATTTTAGTAAAAATTTCTTTTCCTTATAATACAAATATGCAAATCTAATAATAAAGCCTACATGGTCAAATGATTTAGCCCCCAGTGCCTTCAAAGATTCTCTGTAGACTCAGTTATGTTAACCAAGCAATTTAACCTCATTAGAGCCAACCACTAAAGATGAGAGTATACATTTTAAGGGATAAAAAGGCAACACTCCTTCAAATCTAAGGCAGCCCAGGAGGTGAAAAGTGACTCAGGAAAAAAATGTTAAATAACTTGAGGCAGGAGAATGTGAGTGCCAGGCCAGTCTGGGAAACAGCAAGATTCTCAATCCTCCTGCCTCAAAAAAAAAAAAAGAAAGAAAGAAAGAAAGAAAAGGGAAAAAAAAGAGGAGGGGGGAAGAAAAATTAAATTTTAAATAGTTTAAAAATTCCAAAAGGTGCTTCTTTTCCATTCACATACTTATAAATTTAGGATAGTAAAAAAGTCCCATGCCAGCGTGGTGGTGTGTGCTTGTAATCCCAGCACTTGGGAGGCTAACGTAGGAGGAACAAGACTTCCAGGCCAGCTTGGGCAAAATAATAGACCTGTCTCCAAAAAAAAAAAAAACTTCCAAGTCTTACCACCATCCAACCACAGTAGACTAGGCAGATGATCAACAAGATGATTCATCTCAATTTAAAATTATTTTTTTTACTCTATATTAGCTCAGCTTATAAGAGTATTTGTATCCAAACTCAGAATATTATCAGTTTGATGTCTGTTATCTGTTTATGGTTTACTTAAGGTTTTCTTGCTAAATTCATCAAGAATCAGTTAAAACATTCTCACTATAGATCCTCCTCTGTTAAAAAGAAGACTAGCCAAGTGTGGTGACCAGGCCTGTAAATCCAGCACTTATGTGGCTAAGATCCTGAGTTCAAGGCCAGCCTAGGCATGAAGGAAGGAATAAAAGGACTGGGAGAAAAATGACTGAAGTCTAATGAAAATCAATCTTTAGAAATAAATACTTGATAAATATTGGCAATGTAATCCAAGTGCAGTACTATATTTGGACAAGCTGGATATATCTAGATGTATTACCTGTAAGCACTGAAAGTGGTAGGAAAAGAATTTTAAAGCAGGGTAATTTTCTAAAGTTGAAATTTCATACTCTTTCTGCAATGTATTCTAATGTAATTGTGAATACACTATTTTTATTCAGAAATGTTAAGAATGCCACATTTCAAAGAATCAAGCTATGGCCCATACCTATAATCCTAGCTACTCAAGAGGCAGAGATCAGGAGGACCCTGGTTTGAAGCCAACCTGAGCAAATAATTCCCAGCGACACTATCTGGACAAAACTCATCACAATAAAGGGCTGGTGGAGTGCCTAATCAGCATGAGCCCCTAAGTTCAAACCCCAGTGCTGCCAAAACTTAACAAATTAAATCCAAACATTAATATCTCCTACATAATATCTAACAGCAATAATATTATTAATTCTCTCCCATGCCAAAATAAAATAGCTCATCTCTGGTCACATTAACAATTATAAACATTCTTAAGGTTTGTTTTTAAATTTGATAAATCCAAATGATGATACAATGGGCAATAAGCCAAGCTTCAATTTCAGCCCATCTTTACAGACAAATGCCTACATTTATCATTAAAATTATACTGCTCTCCCCTACCACTATACAATGTAAATTCTGTGACACTGAATACACAGTCAAGTCTCCAAGCCCCAAGAAGAGTTTGGGCCCCATCTATCAGAAAATTCTGTGTCAGACTACAATCTTTTGCGCAGGCTGAGCACAAAAAGTACCAAGGATATAGCTTAGAAGAGAGAGGACAGCTGTACTGGATCCACACATCAGCTATGCTAGGTAGGAAAAGGTAAACCATCTTGTGGTACAAAGTAAAATAGTGAAGCTTTAAGAGGTCCTTAAATTGCTTTTGCTGAGAGGCACTAACTCCTTCCTTGGGCCCATGCCTGAACTAAAAACAGGAGAAAAGCCTGGCTGGTATCCCTGCCTCAATTCTCCATCTGTTTTGTCTAAGCCATTCAACCTTACCTTGTCTGAACCATTCACCTTAGAATCCAGGAAGGACAGGACTTAATGATAACATGTTTAGAAAAAAGGATGGAGGAACTTGCCCCAAAGAAGGGCCCTGTAATAAATCTCCTTTCTCTGACTTTGCCATGTCTCTTTATTTGGTGTATAGGGGTAAGTGGCCAGACCAGATATGTGGAAGCCCAGGAGTTTGGGCCTGGAGTCCAAAACTCCATTTTCAAAGCCAGTAACAGATATGTCTAGGCTACAGTATGTTCAAATGGATACAAGATTCCTCCTTTAATCACACTGTACTTCCTACCTTCTCCTATATAAAGAGATATTACTTTTAATATAAATGATTATTATTTTACCATTTTAAAAACTTCAATTCTCCTTTTCTGCAATGATATCCTCTCATATGCAGAAAGATCCACATGCCCCCCCCATTTATAGCCCGTAGTATACATTTTTCCACAAAATCCAAATGTACTCTTATGTTGCAATTTTAGAGAAATTAAAATATGGCATAGTTTTCCAAATTTATAATTCATTAAAATTCAGAGGTAGTCTTTTTTTTTTATTTTATATGGTTTTTCCCCAGAGTTAGATGAGAACAAATTAAATTCTGACCACTTATTTAAGGATTTTTGTATGCTAGACAGACCACCAATGAATTTTAATCTATAGACTAGCAACATCTGAAAAAATGAAATTAAACACTCTTCAGCCAGACACAGAAAGAAAGAATTGCATGTTTTCTATCATATGTGGGAACGTTCAAAAAAAAAAAGACCCAAAGGTAGAAGAGGGACTGTTGGGGGCAGGTAGAAAGGAGGGTGGACATGATCAAAGCACAATATATACATGTATGGAAATGTCACAGTGAAACTCATTAATTTGTACAATTAGTATGTATTAATAATTGTAACTTTAAAATCTTATTTATATAGTACAACCACTCTGGAAAAAAATCTGGAGGCTACTTAAAAAGCTGGACATCGATCTACCATTTGATCCAGCAATACCACTCTTGGGGATATACCCAAAAGACTGTTACTCCAGAGGCACCTGCACATCCATGTTTATTGCGGCACTATTCACAATAGCCAAGTTATGGAAACAGCCAAGATGCCCCAGCACTGACGAATGGATTAAGAAAATGAGGTATCTATACACAATGGAATTTTATGCAGCCATGAAGAAGAACGAAATGTTATCATTCGCTGGTAAAAGGATGGAATTGGAGAACATCATTCTGAGTGAGGTTAGCCTGGCTCAAAAAACCAAAAATCGTATGTTCTCCCTCATATGCGGACAGTAGATCAAGGGCAAACACAACAAGGGGATTGGACTATGAGCACATGATAAAAGCGAGAGCACACAAGGGAGGGGTGAGGATAGGTAAGACACCTAAAAAACTAGCTAGCATTTGTTGCCCTTAACGCAGAGAAACTAAAGCAGATACCTTAAAGCAACTGAGGCCAATAGGAAAAGGGGAACAGGTACTAGAGAAAAGGTGAGATCAAAAAGAATTAACCTAGAAGGTAACACCCACACACAGGAAATCAATGTGAGTCAATGCCCTGTACAGCTATCCTTATCTCAACCAGCAAAAAACCCTTGTTCCTTCCTATTATTGCTTATACTCTCTCTACAACAAAATTAGAAATAAGGGCAAAATAGTTTCTGCTGGGTATTGAGGGGGGTGGGAGAGGGAAGGGGCGGAGTGGGTGGTAAGGGAGGGGGTGGGGGCAGGGGGGAGAAATGAACCAAGCCTTGTATGCACATATGAATAATAAAAGAAAAATGAAAAAAAATAAATAAATTAAAAAATAAAAATAGGAAGAAAAAAAATAAAAATCTTATTTATAGCAGCACACCAAAATAATTAGAAATAAATCTAATAAAGTATCAAAATACTGTTGAGAGAAATTAAAGAATGTAATAAATAGAAAGATATAATCATTTCCAAGTAATGGAAGACTCAATATTGTTGAGATAATAATTCTCCCACAAATGATAGTCAATAAAACTCCAATTGAAATTTCAGCAGGCTTTGTGGTACAAGTGGCGCTGATACGTAACTTTATGGAAAGGCAAAGGGCCTAGGGTTGGCACAGGCAGCTAGGTACACGTAAGCAGGATGCCCCGGGCTACAAAACGCTACTTTAAAACTCCAGATGGCCCACACTCAGGCCAATAATTAAGACAATGGCCCCATATCTTCCTCAGAAGCCTCTTCTCAAGGCTGGGTATGCGACTTGAGGGCATAGTGAGTGGTATATGACCTTCTACTGGCAGCCCTAAAATGGGAAGGATAAAAGATCAAATGGGAAGGGCAGAGAGGATCAAATGCAAAGGCTTATGCCTGCCCACACCCAGGGGAAGCAATGCCCAGCAGTTGAACTATTTGGGGAGGGGCCGCAAGAAATTTCATGCCACCTAGTAATCCCACAATATTGGATATAACCCCAGGCATGGACAGCTTTCATGCAGCAGACCTTACCCTGGAGATGCACTGTAATTCTGCAATCATTCTTATTACCTTCTTGCTCTTTCTGGTTCTTTCAGTAACTGGGGCAATGTACCCAAGAACTGAGGTACATCTAGACCACCCCAACCATCGGTAACACTAGAAAAGACAAAATTTACTACTAAGACTATAGTAATCAAGAAAGTGTAGTACCAGATTAAATTATAAACAGGCAGATCAATCCAATACAATAAAGTTCAGAAAAAGACCTATTCATGTATGGACAAATTGCTTTACAACAAAGTTGCCAAAGTAATTCAATACAGAGGGCAAATAATGCTTAAGAAATAGGATATTCATATGGGAGATGGGGTGGGGGACTAAACTTTTACCTCACATCTTAACACAAAAATTAACTCAAACTGAATCACATAAATAAAGGTAGCATCAAAAACTACAGGACTTCTTCATTTGGAATTGCCACAATGAATCCTGCCTGCACAATGAATACATCCTAATAATGTAAGAGGTGCTTAAGCTGCTTTTGCTGAAAAGTGCTGACTCCTTACTTGAGCCCACAAATTAACTAAAAGCAGCCATCCCTACCTTCATTTTGTATCTGTCTTTGCTCTTGGCCATTCTCTTTGCAGTCACTTGTTGATCACCTTGGATTCCAGCAAGAGTAGAACTGATAACATCTTTATAACAAGGGAGACTTGCAGGACAGCCCATCCCTCCAAATGAGGACAAATACCTGTTATGATGGGACTGCACCCTGGAACAGGAGCAATCATCTCATAAGAACCCCTCTGGGAGCCCTTGGACTGAGATAATGGTCAACCAGAACACATGTGACAAGGACTGTTTAACTATGCATAACTTTGTCCCCTGCCCCTGGTTCTTTTGTCTTCTTAGACCTATACCACATGTCTGTACCCTGAAGATGAGCTGAGTGCTTACAATGAGGTACCACTTCACAGTGAAAGAATGGCTAATGCTAAGAATACATCACTAAACATTAATAAGAACTAGTACATTTATGATAGGAGGATAAAATAGTACAACCACTTTCAACAACAATTTGACTTTTCAAGAAAATGCAAACATATCATGACTCAACTACTCTATTTGTACATATTTACCCAGAAAAATAAAAACCTAAATCCCAACAGCTTCAGTTACAATAGCCAAACTATCAGGTAAATAAACCAATGGTGATTTATGGGATAGACATACTATAGTTAACACTACTCAACAACAAAGAACAGACTACTGGTACATGTACATAAGATGGATGAATCTCAAAAACCTTACTGAGTAGAAGAAGACAAGACATTAAAGAATTCATTCAAACTGGGCACCGTAGCTGATGCCTGTAATCCATACACTTGAAAGGCCAGCCAAAGCAAAAAAGTTAGCAGGCCCCATCTCAATCACTAAGCAGGGCACAGCAGTACACACCTGTGATCCCAGCTACACATATCCTAGGCAAAAGCTTTAGACCCTATCTGAAAAATAACTAAAGCAAAAAGGGCTAGCATGGCTCAGGGGGAAGAATGCCTGCCAGAGAGCGCCAGACCCTGGGTTCAAACCCCAGTACCTCCAAGATATAAAAGAAAAAAATACACACATACTACTTGATTCTATTTATAATCTGTGTGGATTAAGTAGTTCCCTTGGGCCTCCTTTCTAATCTACCTCCTTTCTCTTCTCAGGTAACATTTACATAACCCAAGATTATAGAAATTTTGAGGAAATGTTAATAGGCACTCAGAAACTGCTTTTGTAAGAAGCCCAGATTCCTCACTTGAGCCAATAAGTTAACTAAAAACAGGAAAAGAGCTTGGTATCTCTGCTTCCACTTTGCATCTGTCTCTTTTTTGCTCTGATTCTGGGAAGGACAGGATGATGGATCTTGTGACAAGTGTCAATCTACCCCACCCCACCCCCAGAACAGCAATGACTTTCTTATCCTGACCAGGCCAGCCTGAACAATTCTGAGATAATGATCAACCAGACTACAGCTTGATCAAGACTGCTTAAACTATGCATGTTTTCAACCCTTCCCTATATAACCTGGAAGGTCATGTCAGTACCCCTGAAGACAGACTGAGGGTCACTGAACCCCTTTATTAGGCCACATTAAATAAATCTTTCTCTGCCCTTTATCACTACTTGTCTCTTTAACTGGTGGGTGGAGAAGGGTGGCCAGCCCTAGTCTGTAGAGACTCTGGGAGTCAGGGCTTTTGCCCTAAATTCCAGTAACAGAAACTACAAGTGTACATGAACTAAGAAACAATAACATTATTTATACTATGACTTAAACAGTCTTCCTTCAGTAAATGAATAGGACCTAAACTTTGTTCTGTCAAGTAAACACAGACCCATTTATAATCATTGTTTTCTCCAACCAAAATGCTTCTTGTTTCAGAAGCTTATATTGCCTGCTATCATACAAATCTATAGGTTGCCATGTGCCAGCTAAGGTGAGCTTTTATACATACTCTCATTTAAATTTAAAACCCTGACTGGGACATAGGACATTATCTCTAAAAACAAGAAGATTGGGATAAACTGTCTATTTAAATTTGTCAAGATAAATTTCTCTAGATAAATTTTCAAAACAGAGAAGCAAGAAGGGACCCATGTAGGTCCTCTCCATTTTACAATACAGACTCCCACAAAGGAAAGCAATTCTATTCCTGCCAGATCATGATGTTATCTCTTTGAGAGAAAAGGTAAAATGCTACTTCACGTGTACCTATTGAAGCTTACTCTGAACTAGGCCCCGTAGTTGTCCCTTCACCCATCAAAGCATTCAATGCCTCCAACACCCTACAAAATGGGGTCCCATTTTATAGATGCAGAAACTAAGGTTTAAGGAGATCAAGCGATTCATCAGACATAAACTTAAATCTTTATCTGACTCCAAAGTTCATGCTTTTACAACCATCTTACAAGTCTTCATTAAACACCAAAACAGTGCACTACAGCCACTAGTTATGGTCAGGAACAAAAAACACAGTATTTTTAAAGGAGGAAAGTCTTTCTATGACTCTTGGAACCATATTACAACTGTCATTCCCATTTCCAAGAACTACATAGTGATCTATATATCCCAGGTACTGCTTCTGAAACAAAGATTAGTACCCAAAACGCAAATACATACAAAGGAATAAAAATCCTGAATATCGGAATGGCTCAAGTGGTAGAGTGCCTGCCTAGCAAGTGTGAGGTCCTGTGTACCACCAAAAAAAACAAACAAACAAAAATTCTATGTAAAAAAAATCAAACAAAAAAAATTCTATGTAAAAAACCTAAGTTAAATAAGTTGTCACTCATTTACTTACACTGAATCAAAATATGCAAAGACCTCCTTCATAAATCATCTGTACCCACTATTATAATAACCCACTATTCCAACTATTTCAGAAATAAAATCTGTCCAATTAAAATATATGGTTTGCAGAATGAACCTTTTGTGGAAAATCAAAACCATGTATTTCTTCCACTAGTAAGTAACATTTAGGGCCCTATTTCATCTCAGGAGAATCACGATTCAAAGCCAGCCTGGGCAAATAGTTCTTGAGACCCCATCTCAAAAAAAAAAAAAAAAAAAAAGAATCACAAAAAAGGGCTGGTGGAGTAGCTCAAGGGGTAAGCCCTAAATTCAAACCCCAGTACCACCAAAAAAAAAAAAAAAAAAAACCAGTACCACCAAGGGAAAAGCAAAAGAATATTCTTAAGAACGTAAGTCTGGTTTCGGTTTTAGTTTTTAATAAAGCTGCAGGTTTATTAAGTGGTTAGTTCTCACTTATACTTTCTATTACAAGTCATAAATCTAAAAATAAAGCGTGAATCTACAACCTTTCTTGATATTGCTCAATTCCACTAAATCATAAGGTCTTCTTCTAACCATCACTGTAAAGGAAAGAGGAAGAGAAAGAAAAAAGAAAAACCTGGGAGGCTATGGACATGGATCAAGTGGTAGAGCACCTGCCTAGCAAGTACAAGTCCCTGAGTTCAAACCCCAGTATCACCTAAAAAAAAAAAAAAGAAAAGAAAAATGTAGAATATTTAACTATCTGTGGGCCTCAGCAACAATTCTTGTCAGACTAAAGGTATAATAATTTTTTCTTTCCTAAATGAAAAAAAAAAAACAGTTCTTATTCTTAAACTAAGTGATTTTGAGTAATTCCTATCAAATATCTCAGAAAGTTAATACTCAAATGATTATCATAAAATCAAAATTAAAAGTCACAAACTTGTAACCCCACAACCTGGGAGACCAAATGAAGCAGGAGCTTGTGTTCAAGGCCAGCCTGGGCTACAAGACCCTGTCTCAAAAAGAGAAAAAAGAAAGTCATAAACTTCAGAACATGTGCTAACAGCAACCAAATGCTCGTAAGTTTTAGATTAAGATATCAATTAACTACCTGCTTATCTAATTTCCAAAGTCTGAGAACTGTAAGTACTAATGCAATGACCAAGCAATCTTACTTCCTTATTAAAGTAACCTCAAAACTGTCTGCAAATCAATTTCAACAACAACAACAACAAAAAGTTAATAGAAAGGACATCTGGGTGAACTACAAAACATGCTCTACATTTATATACTCCTCTAGGCTCTATTTCTGGATCAAGTAATCCACCAATCACATACCCCTAGCTCAGAGGTCACAAATTTGAACATGTGAAGCAGCCTGGAGAAAGACAAAAAAAAACTGTAATCGTGCTCTGCTTAAAAGAATTACAATGCAAAATTTTAAACACTGTTAACATGCTGAGGTAACTGGATATGCACATAAAAATTAAAGCCAGGCACCAGTGGCTCTTAGCTATAATCGTAATCCTAGCTGCTCAGGAGGCAGAGATCAGTAGGATTGTGGTTCAAAGCCAGCCCAGACAAAGAGTTTGAGAGACCCTCTCAAAAATATCCAACACAAAAAAGGACTGTCAGAGTGGCTCAAATGGTAAAGCAACTTGCCTAGCAAGCATGAAGCCCGGAGTTCAGACTCCAGAAACACCAAAAATAAATAAAAGATAAAAAATAAACTGGATCCCTACCCTCACATCATATATCAAGGACATTTTATTTTATTTTTTTTAGGCAAACTCAGACCTAAATATAAAAAACAAACTGAAAACTTTTTTTTCTTTTTTGGTGGCACAGGGGTTTGAACTCAGGGCCTCACACTTGCCAAGCAGGTGCTCTACCACTTGAGCACCTGCCAGTCCTCTGCTAGTCCATTTTGCTCTGGTTATTTTGGAGATGGGGTCTCAAGAAGCATTTGCCTGGGGTGGGCCTCGAATGGAGGGAGGGAAGGAAGGAAAAAAGGAGGAAGAGAAGGAGGGGAAAGAGAGAGAGACCAGTACCAGTGGCTAGCACCTGTAGTCTTAGCTACTCAGGAGGCAGAGATTAGGAGGATCGGAGTTCAAAGCCAGCCCAGGCAAATAGTTCAAGACCCCCCATCTCGAAAAAATTCATCACGAAAAAGGGCTGGTGGAGTGGATCAAGGTGTAGGCCCTGAGTTCA